TTTATAGAGTCACAAAACACCCAGAATAGCCAAAGCTATCCTAAGTATAAAGAACAAAACTGGAGGAATCACATTACCTGACTTCAAGTCACACTACAAAGGTATAGTAACCAAAACAGTGTGATATAGGCATAAAAATGGACACGTAGAGCAATGAAATAGCACAGAAGACCAAGAAACAAGTACACACATCTACAGTGAACTTATTTTTAATAAAGGTGCCAAGAACATACGTTAGAAAAAAAACAGTGTCATCAACAAGTGATGCTGGGAAAACTAGATATCCATATGCAGAAGAATAAAACATGATTCCTACCTCTCACCTTATACAAAAATCAAATCAAAATGGATTAAAGACTTAAATCTAAGATCTCAAACCATGAAACCACCACCCAAAAACATTAAGGAACCTCTCCAGGACATTGATCTGGGGAAAAGTTTTCTAAGAAATCTCCCATAAGCATAGGCAATCAAAGCTGAAATGGACAAATGGGATCAGATTCCATTAAAATGCTTCTGTACCACAAAGGAAACAATCGCCATATTAAGAGACAACCCACAGAATGAGAGCAAATATTTGCAGACTACACATTTGACAGGGATTAGTAACCAAAATATATAAGGAGCTCAAACAATTCTAAAGGAAAATCTCTAAAAGTTCTATTAAAAAATGGGCAAAAGATTTGAATAAACATTTCTCAAAAGACATACAACTGGCAAACAGGCATATGAAAAAGCCCTCATCGTTGATCATCAGAGAAATGCAAATCAAAACTGCAAAGATATGTAACTTCATCTCAGTTAAAATGGCTTGTATCCAAAAGTCAGGGAATAACAAATGCTTGCAAGGATATGGAGAAAAGGGAACCCTCATACACTGTTGGTGGGAATGTAAATTAGTACAGCCACTATGCAGAACAGTTTGGAGATTCCGCAAAAAAACTAAAAATAGAGCTATCATTTGATTCAACAATCTCATTACTAGGTATATAACCAAAAGAAAGGAAATCAGTATAGAGAAGAATGATCCGTACTCCCATGTTTGTTGCAGCACTGTTCAAAATAGTCAACATTTGGAAGCAACCTCAATGTCCATCAACAGATGAATGACTGAAGAAAATGTAATTATACATAATGAAGTACTATTCATACGTAAAAAAAGAGAATGCGATTCTGTTATTTGCAACAACATGGACGGAACTAGAGGCCATTATGTTAAGTGAAATAAGCTAGGCACAGAAAGACAGATACCACATGTACTCACTTATTTGTGAGATACGCAAATCAAAAGAATTGAATTCATGGAGATACAGAATAGAAGGCTGGTTACCAGAAGCTGAGAGGGATAATGAGCAGGGTGGCGATATGGATAGTTAATGGGTACAAAAAATAAAAATAAAAATAAAAGGAATAAGATGTAGTATTTGGCAGCACAGGAGAGTAACTAAAGTCAATAATAATTTAATTGTTCATTTTCAAATAACTAAGAAAGAATAATAGGATAGTTTGTAACACAAAGGATAAATGCTTGAGGGGATATGTACACAGTTTTTCATTATGTGATTATTACACACTTCATGCCTATACCAAAACATCTCATATACCCCAGAAACATATACACCTACTATGTACCCACAAAAAATTTTGTTTAAAGGAGGCAAAAGAGATATGACAACTGTATACAACCTGTGATCTAGGATTTCCTTCACTACAAAGGATGTTACTAAGAAATGAAAAAGGATGCTACCGAGAAATGCAAAAATTTGCAAGTCTGTACATTAGATGGTAATGTTTGGTCAGTGTTAGCTTCCTGATTTTAACTGTCCTGTGGTTTTATAAGAGAAGGTATTTGTTTCAAAGCATTTGATTTGGTTTGGATTTGTGGCCCCACTCAAAACTCAGGTCTAATTTGTAATACCCAATGTTGGAGAAAGGGCCTGGGGGAGGTGATTGGCTCATGGGGGTAGATTTACCCCTTGTTGTTCTTATGATAGTGAGTCAGTGTTTACAAGATCTGGTTGTTTAAAAGTGGGTAGCACCTCCCCAATTTCTTTCTTCTTCTCTGACCACTTACGATGTGCCTGCTTCCCCTTTGCCTTCCACCATGACTGTAAGTGTCCTGAGGTCTCCTCAGCCATGCTTCCTGTACAACCTGCAGAAGCACGAGTCAATTAAATCTCTCGTCTTTATAAATTACCCAGTCTCAGGTAGTTCTTTATAGCAGTGCAAGAATAGACTAACACAGTAATTAAGTATAAGCAGAAATCATTTTTAGAGCTTCCTCTCAGATGATTCAGATGTGTGTGTTCACACATGTTTACACAAGTGCACATTGAGACCCAGAGAGAGGGAAGAGAAAGCAAATGTGGTAAAATGTTCATTTTGAAAAACCTTCTTTAAAAGCATGTAAGAATTTGTTATATTAGTCTTATAACTTTCTGTAAACCTGAAAATGTTTATTTAAAAATGGAAGAAAATAATTTCAGAATCCATAAAAAGGAGCAATAATGGATAAGTTTTTTTTGTTTTTTTTTTTTTTTTTTTTTTTTTGAGACGGAGTTTCGCTCTTGTTACCCAGGCTGGAGTGCAATGGCGCGATCTCGGCTCACTGCAACCTCCACCTCCTGGGCTCAGGCAATTCTCCTGCCTCAGCCTCCTGAGTAGCTGGGATTACAGGCACGCGCCACCACGCCCAGCTAGTTTTTTGTATTTTTAGTAGAGACGGGGTTTCACCATGTTGACCAGGATGGTCTCGATCTCTCGACCTCATGATCCACCCACCTCGGCCTCCCAAAGTGCTGGGATTACAGGCTTGAGCCACCGTGCCCGGCCATGGATAAGTTCCTATTAAAATAGTCAATCAATTTGTTTAAAATGCATGTTATTACATTAGCTATTTTCTCAAAAGTCTTATTGTTATTTTTGGAATATATAATTTCATATATGTTATAATTGTGCACATGTATGAAGAAAATCAACTATTTGGAATATGCATGCTCTTTTTTTAATAGGAAGCAAGAAAAACAGATATAAAGTGTAATCCTAGAGTGTGGATACTGAAAATTTTGCACTTATTTCATAAAATCTGGATCTGTAAATCCCTTTTTCTAATCTTCATTCAATAATACAACTTGAATAGATATATATTTTGGGCATCATAACATTTCTTCATAAAAGTCTTATGACCTGACTTCATTACCTTTTGCCTTCTGTTATTTAGTCCTGTAGAAAAGTGGCAGCTTTGATTCTTGTTCTTTGTAGGTAACCTGATTTTTCTATTCTGTACTTGTAGAATTTTTCTCTTTATCCTATTGTGATATCCTAGGAAGACATCTGGTCATTATCCCCAATTCTTGGACTATCTGGAGTGAAGAGTGTGTCTTTTGTATGCTAAGGACATGACTTAAAGAGAAGGCACTGGATAGCTTCAGGATTCGGCTGGTGTCCAAGAAGACCAATCCTGGATTAGAAATAGAATTTTCAGTTCCATCTAAAACCTGTAAGGAGAGGACACGAACTGAAGATTGAGTTAATCACCAATGGCTAATGATTTGTAAACCATGTCTATGTAATGAAGCCTCTATAACAACCCCTAAATGACAGGGTTCACAGAGCTTCCAAGTTGGTGAGACACATCAAGATGCTAGGAGGGTGGTGTGCCAAGAGAGGGGATGGACGCTTTCCACACAGCCACCCCCACTCCTAAACCTCATTTTAATGCACCTTTTTTATTTGGCTGTTTCAGAATTATATGTACACTTTGTAATAAACTGGTAACGGAAAAACACTTTGCTAAGTTCTGGGAGTCCTTTTAAAGAATTATCAGACTTGGAGTTGGGGAGGGGTCATAAGCCCTGGTGGAAGAGAACAACAGGCAGAAGAACCTGAAATCCTGAATAACTTCCTGAAGCACAGACACCCCACCGGCCTGGACCAGTCAAGTTTTAATGTGAAAGGGAAGTAAACCACTGTGCTCTTTCAATCCCTTTGTTACAATTTCTTAACCTATTCCCTACCTAATACAAAGAGGGAACTTACCGTAAGGAAACATGGAAGGACAAATAGAATTAAATCTAGAAAGTCATAAAGAACTAAGCCTTTGTCTGACTGTCTCTGGTCCCCACATCCCCTCCAACCCCTGGAAGTATGTAATATTTTGTCTCTATTCCTTTTTGCATATCTATTTTATTCTGCTTCCTCTAAATATTGGCTTTTTATGTTGTCTATATAACCTGTAGAGAATGACCATCTCACTGCTCCCAAGTTTGCATGTTCCTCCAAGACTATTTAGTTTTCTCTCCAGCCCAATGCCAAGTTAACAGGAGAATGCAGTTGTATCAGCTTGGAACTAGCATCTACCTCTGTCTCAAGCTATGATCTCAACCACTGTGTCACACAGGTCAAACATGGTTGTTGGAGGACATAAAGAATATAGTAATTATACAAATCAGATCATTGTAACCTTAATCACTTAAAAAAGTATAAAATCTGTCTTTCCACACTCTCCCTCTTTAATCACTTACATACACAGGTACTATACACAGACTGTTTGCTTCCTCAACCTCACCATCCCCATGCTAAAGGTAAACAAGGACTGAGGAATCAAAATTGATGTAATTGTTCCCTTTGTACCCTTCAGCTTCTAGCCATATGGAAGGCATACCCTCTAAGAACCCCTAAATTATTATGAGTAAATCTATTTGGGGGTAGATCTCCCGGTTTTCATTATAGTAGGATTGCCAGATTAAATACAGAATGCCAAGTTAAATTGAGATTTCAGATACATATTTTTTTTAGTATAAACATGTTTCAAATATTGTATGAGGCATACTAAACATTTTTGTTATTTACCCAAAATTCAAATGTAACTGAGTATCCCATACTTTTGTTAAATTTGACAACATTAATCTGTAAAAATTGTTCTTTCCCCCCAGTTTTAGAAGTTTCTTCCTGTCACTTTCTTGTTCTTCAGTGATACTATTCTTCTCATCTTTTTCTAGGATGCTTGGATTCCACAGGCTCAAATCCTGCTTGCTCAAGACAAAAGTTACAGAAGGAAGACTGCTTCCTTCTTATGCTGAGACAGGATGGGATCCAGGGATCCCATCCCATCAGCCTGAAGAGGTTAGTTCAAATGCCATTCCATCTCTGTGGGGCCTCTTTCACTTCTCCAGTGCCATTCCACGGGCAGTCTTTGCTGCAATGCCAGAAGGCCTTTGGTTTACTACACTGTTATTGTATGACTCTAACAGAGCTGATTCTGCACTACAAATCAATCACCCTGAATGGAAGCTCCCAAATGTAACCCCACCATCATGCTCCTTATTCTGGAATGGGAGCAGCATTCCTAACAAAATAAATTGAGAATCTAAGAAAATATTCAAGAAATGCTTTACTTCTGGCAAAACAATAAATTCCAACTTACCTAGAGCTCATAGGCTGGTAGAATTCAGTAGTGGTTTTCCTTGTCTATTCAATGTGTTAGAGAAAGTGAAGGTGTTTTACTCAGGAGTACAGGCTATTATGAAAAGACATGGTAACTGATACCTGTCTTCAGATATCAGTTATCAGATACCTGGACTCAACATAGAATAAGATTTATTGGGATATGGATTTGATTCATTATCTTCCTCCCTGAAATATAATATCTTCCTCCCCTTTTGTGCTCTGAAATATAAATCCAGGAATTGTGATACAGACTACAATGAGGGTTTTTTTGGATAGAGTTCGGTATAAGTGAAATCAGATTGAAATTTGTGTTTCTTGTTCTATGTGTGGTAGAATATTTATATCTGAGGAAAGTCATTGATTTAGTAAAAATGCATTTTTCTGGGCTTTCAGGTTGTGCAAAGCAAAAGGAGAAAATGGGAATGGAAATACTTGAGACAAGGAGTAAGAAATCTGTCCTATTTTCTTTATGAACAAGTGTTATCTCTGTAGAAACTATGATATTGTCTGGTTTGGGGTTGGTGTAGGGGCCCGGACCATGACAGAAAATAAACCAAGCCCTGGATCATGGCAGCAAAGTGAAAGAAAGGACAGGGATGGTCTGCTAGGGCATCTCTTTGGAAGGGCATGACTACTGAACTCTAGGAGAAATGGCACTTAATGCTTTGTTTTAGGTTTTCCTTCTTTGAATTGTAGTTTCATATACACTAATCTATGCATATATCATCTCATAATAAGCTTGAGTAACGTTTTTATAAAATGCTACAGCTGTGCTATTGGCAATTAAGGGTTAGGAGCCATGACAATCCTAGAGGCATAACTAAAGTAGAAAGTAAACAGCAACCAGATGAAGTGTTTATAAGATGATAATAGGTGATGACTAGAAAGTCAGAAACAGTCATTTTGTGAAGAAAAGTAACAACCAGCTAAAAACAGTATGCTCATGTTTATTGAGCAAGACGTTTTTTAACTAACATGTTCTAAATATTTTCACAGATTATCTCATATAATCTAGGGAATATTATTATTCCTGCTTGTAGGTAGGAAAACAGGTAAAAAGATGCTAAATAATTGATCAAGGCAGTAAGTCACAGAATCAAGGTACATATTCTGGCAGCCTTGCCTCAGGACCAGTAACCTCAATCACCATAATATCCTGTCTCTTAGGACAATGTGGGGAATAAATATCTATTCCATATAGATTTTTCAAAAGTCAGGAGGGAAACCAGACAAAAGGCACTCTATGTCAACTCAGAGCCTTCAAATCACAAAAACTCTCAACTAGGTATAAAATTTGAAGAAAGAGAACAATTTTCTAAATTTCATATTCTTCATGGTGCCTCTTACTATGACCTGTGCTGGGTAATAATTCTTACTTAAAGATCAAAACATAAATATAAGTAATGTGCCTCATTTCTTTTTATCCTCAAATGCCCAACTATATTGAACACTGGCTTTTAGTTCAGCATTTTTACCAATGCAGCTTTGTTTGTCTGATCGAATACTTGTAGTCTTCTAACACAATGTTAACCAATTTGCTGATTACAGATATAGGACTTTAAAAATACTACCAAGTGACATTAAATTTCAACTCAATCCAAATCTAAAGCAGGTAGCAAAATTTCTGCTAATGCTTTTTCAGGACCTTTTAATTCTTACTTAATCCAAGGTTTCTAGAATCCATCCTGCAGGACTGCGTGAGGATGTAGGTACTTTCCATCTTCATGTTATAGTATGGCCATTTTCCCTCACTGCATGGTTTACTCAATTATCTGTTAGTGTCACCAAATTGCTTCTTCAAGAGAATCAGAAAACAAAACCCTTTTTATATTTATGCCTGATTGAAGCAGGAGAAATTTCGGCATTCATCCACTCTTTTTTCCTGAGACCTCTTCCTTCCCGCCTGCTTTCTCCAAATATTTGATCTCTACCCAAGACTTTCTGTTTCCATAAGGTTCTAAGCTTTTGGAAACCAAACCAGAAAGACAAGATCAGTAGGCTGTCAGCTTCCTATTCTGCCACATCTTTCTCCTGAGGAATGAACTAAGGAAACCAATTCTTTGCATGAAGGAAAGGAAAAGGAAATCCCTAGAAAGAAAAACCGGTAAATATTTAAAAAATATTCTGTGCAAGGCGCTCTGCATTTTATATACCTTATCTTAATTCATCCTTAAATCTAATGTTGTTTATTATATTGTTTAGTGTTATAAATGTTATTATTTATCCTCTTTTCAGAGTTAAGAAAACTAAAGCTTGGTAGATTGTATCACCTAGCTGTTGTGATAAAGCAGTCTCTGAGATGACCTCCCAGTACAGTCACCCCTCAGTATCCATGGAGGACTGGTTCCATGATCCCCACGGATACTAAAATCCATGCATGCTTAATACAAAATGGCATCTATTTGATTACAACCTACCCACATCTTCCCATATACTTTAAATCATCTCTAGATTACTTTTCATACCTACTATAATGTTAATACTTTGTAAATAGTTATTTATTACATTGGTTTTAAATTTTTCTTTCTCTCCTCTCTCTTTCTTTCTCTCTTTCTCTTTCTCTCTCTCTCTCTCTCTCTCTCTGTCTCTCTCTCTCTTTCTTTCTTTTTTTTTTCTTTTGAGATAGGTTCGCACTCTGTAGCCCAGGCTGGAGTGGCATAATCATGGCTCACTGCAGTCTGGACCTCCTGGGCGCAAGTAATCCAACCACCTTGGTCTCCCCAGTAGCTGGGATTACAGGCAGGTGTAAATTTACCACCCCGTGAGGTGGTTTGTAATATCCAGGAGGGAGGAGGGTATTACTCCGCACATCGCAGGGGAGGGAGACATACACACCCCCATTCGAGGTGGTTGGTAATAGCTAGTGGGGGAGAGGGTGATATTACTCCTCATATTGGAGAGGGTATACACCCCCCTGTGATATGGTTCGTAATATCCAGGTGGGATGAAGGTGACATTACTCCTCATACCGGGGGGTGGGTGTACAATCCTTTGTAATATCTACCTTGGAATTAAGAGTAACATATTCCTGGAATATTTCGAATAATTTCACAGGGTATACACCTACTGTGACATTAAGAGTAACATCTCAGTAGGATATTACAAATAGTATAACTGGAAGTACACCCTGTGTGATATTAGGAGTAGCATCTCCCTTGGGTATTATGAATAATATCGATTAATAATTGTCCCTAATATCCAAAGAGAGAAAGGATGATATTACTCCCACTGTTGCAGGGTGTGTACCCCCACCTTGCGATATTGTTCCTCATTTTGGGAGGGGAGGAGAGAAAATGATATTACTTCCAATATCGCAGGGTGTGTACACCCCCCTGGAATATTGTTCCTAATATCCAGGGTGTGAGAGGATGACATTCCTCTCTATATCTCGGTGAATGTACACCTATCCCATGATATTGTTCCTAATATCCGGGGGGCAGAGAATATTACCTCGAATATTGCAGAGGTTGCACACCTCCCCTGTGATATTATTCCTAATATCCAAGGAGAAGAGACTAATACTACTTTCAACATCGCAGGGGTTGTACACTCCCCAGTGATATAGTTCCTAATATCCAAAGAATCAAAGGATGATATTACTCCTAATATTTCAGCAGTTGTAAAACCACCTGTGATTATTTTTTTAATATCCGAGGACTGAGAGGATGTTACTTTCAATACCGCAAAAGCTGTAAATCCCCTCTGTTACGTTGTTCTTAGTATCCAGAACACAAAGGACGATATTACTCCCAGTATTGCAGGAGGTGTACACCCCCACTGTGACATTGTTCCTGATTTCCAGGGGTGGATAGGGTGATATTACTCCCTATAGCACAGTGGGTGTGCACTTTCCTGAGATATTGTTCCTAATATGAAGTTGGGGAGAGGATTTTGTTATACCCAATATTGCAATGAGTGGACACTCCCCTCCGTGATATTGTTCCTAAAATCCAGTAGGGGGCAAGATGACACTACTCCCAATATCGCTGGGACTGTACACCCCACCTATTACATTGTTCCTAATATCCAGGAAGAGAGAGAATATTACTTCCAATATCTCAGGGGGTGTAAACCCCTCCTGTGATATTGTCCCTAATGTCTAGCGGGGAGAGGATGATTTTACTTCTAAAATCACAGGGGGTGTACACCTCCCCTGTAATATTGTTCCTAATATCCAAAGGGGTCAGGCTGATATTACTCCCAATATCACAGAAGGTGTACACCCAGCCTGATATATTGTTCCTAATATCCAGGATGGGAGAGGATGATATTACTGCCAATATCTCATGGGGTGTACAACTCCCCTGTGCTATTGTTCCTAATACCCATGGGGGGAGAAAATGATATTATGCCAATTTCACAGGAAGCGTACAGTGATATTGTTTCTAATCTCCAGGGGGGAGAGGATGATATTACTTTCAATATTGTAGGGTGTGTACATCCACCCTGTGATATTGTTCATAATATCCATGGGTAAAGAGAGTAATATCACACCCAGTATTGCCAGAGGTATACACCCCTGCCATGCTATTGTTCCTAATATCCAGGTGAATGCAGGATGATATTACTCCCAATGTCGCAGGAGGTGTACACCCTGCTGTGGTTTTTTTGTTTGTTTGTTTGTTTAATTTCTGAGGGTGGAGAGAATGATATTACTCCCAATATCGCAGTGAGTGTACACCCTCTTAGTGATATATTTCCTAATATCCAAGGGGTCAAAGTATGATATTACTCCAAATATCGTAGCAGGTGTACAACCCTCTGTGATTTTTTTCCTAATATCTAAGGAAGGAGAGGATGATATTACCCTCAATATTGCATGGGGTGTACACCCCCCCCCCGTGATATTGTTCCTAATATCCAAAGGGAGAGAGGATATTACTCCCAATATCACAGGCATTGTATACTCCCCCTGAGATATTGTTTCTAATATGCAAGGAGGGAAAGGATTTTGTTACATTCAATATCACAGGGGGTGGACAACCGCCATGTGATATTGTTCCTAATATCCAGAGATGTCAGGATGATATTATTCCCAATATCGCAGGGGGTGTACACTCCACCTATGATATTGTTCCTAATATTCAATGGGGGAGAGGATGATATTAATCCCAATATCGCAGGGGATGTACACTCCCCTAATATTGTTTCTAATATTCAGGAGGAAGAGGATGATATTGCTCCAAATATCTTAGCAGTATACACGCCTTGCATGATATTGTTTCTAATATCCAGAAGGGGAGAGGATGATATGACTCCCGATATTGAAGGGTTGTAGAACCACCCTGTAATATTGCTTTTAATATCCAAGGGTGAGGGGGGATGATGTTATTCTCAATATTGCAGGGGGTCTACACCCCCACCCCCATGATATTCTTTCTAATATCCAACTGGGGAGAGGATAATATTGATCCCAATATCACAAGGGGTGTACACCTTCCCCGTGATATCGTTCTAACATCCAGCAGGGAAGAGAGTAATATTACTCCTAATAGCGCAAGGATGTACACCTCCCTTGTGATATTATTCCTAATATCCAGGTGGGCTAAAGGATGATATTGCTCCCAAATTCTCGGGGGGTGAACACTCCCCCGTTATATTGTTTCTAATATCCTAGTAGGTAGAGGATGA